TGCCCTGAGAGTCAGAAGGTCTTCATTTAGAAGAACTATGACGCCTCATGATGAAAGCCGAGTTCCTTCGGAAGTCACGAGGCCGATCCCCCTTCTGACAACCAGAGCAACCATTTATTTAGGTACGTGGAATACTTGTACAATGTGAGGGACTGGGAGAGTCTTCCAAATTGCTGCAGAAATGAGGAGATACAACCTAGAGGGTCTTGGAATCAGTGAAACACATTGGACGCAAGTTGGACAACAAGGACTAACTTCAGGGGAGTTGCTGTTATACTCCGGCCATGAAGAAGTAAATGCCCCACATACACAAGGAGTTGCATTGATGCTATCCAATCAAGCACAAAATGCACTTATAGGATGGGAATCTCATGGACCAAGGATCATCAAAGCCTCGTTCAAAACAAAGAAAGATGGCATTTCAATGAACATCATCCAATGCTATGCGCCTACCAACGACTACAATGAAGACGCTAAAGATCAATTCTACAATAGGCTGCAGTCAATCATCGAGAAGTGCCCAAGAAAAAACCTGACCATTCTGATGGGAGATGTGGCTGGACGATCTAGACTTCGCAGATAATCTTGCCCTCCTATCGCAATCACAACAACAAATGCAGGAGAAAACGACCAGTGTAGCAGCAGCCTTAGCAGCAGTAGGTCTCAATATACACAAAGGGAAAAGCATGCACCAATCCAATCACAATTGATGGAGAAGATTTGGAAGATGTAAAAACCTTTACATATTTGGGCAGCATTATTGATGAACATGGTGGGTCTGATGCAGATGTGAAGGCGCGGATCGGCAAAGCAAGAGCAGCATATTTACAACTGAGGAACATCTGGAACTCAAAGCAACTGTCAACCAACACCAAGGTCAGGATTTTCAATACAAATGTCAAGACAGTTCTACTGTGTGGGGCAGAAACCTGGAGAACTACGAAAGCCATCATCCAGAAAATACAGGTGTTTATTAACAATTGTCTACGCAAAATACTTCAGATCGATTGGCCGGACACTATTAGCAACAACCAACTCTGGGAGAGAACAAACCAGATCCCATTGGAGGAGGAAATTAGGAAGAAGCGCTGGAAGTGGATAGGACACACATTGAGGAAAGCACCCAACTGCGTCACAAGACAAGCCCTCACATGGAATCCTCAAGGCGAAAGGAAAAGAGGAAGACCAAAGAACACATTACGCCGGGAAATGGTGATAGACATGAGAAAAATGAACAAGAATTGGATAGAATTAGAAAGGAAGGCCCAGGACAGAGTGGGTTGGATAATGCTGGTCGGTGGCCTATGCTCCATTAGGAGTAGCAGGCGTAAGTAAGTAAATTTCATATTTCATGGAGGCATTGTGTAATTTCACAATAAATAATAGGTTGATTATCTCGACCTGAGTTCTCGTTCGCTACAGTCCCACTGTTGTGAACAGTGACCTAACGGTATCTACCCTTGCCTTAAGTTCAACGTCTCTACTCAGATCTGAGTTGGTAAGTCGGCGACCAACTCCAACTTCGGGCGTTGGATCTTTAGTTTGAGACTCAGATGGTTCAGCAATCTGATCTTTGTCTTTAAATTTGTGAAAAAGTGTCTGTCTAATCTCTGACAGCCGTTTACGAAAGTGAAGCTGTCTAATCTCCGACTCAATCTTTCCTACTTCCATCGCTTTAAGGGCTGCTTCTTCATATTCTAATCTGTTTTCTGCATTTACATAAGTGTCGAATAAGAGACAGCAACCTTTAGGGTTAGGGTTCACATTATTAAAAATAAAATTTGAAGAAGTGGGTGAGTTTTTCTTAGAAACTGGGGAAGCAATGTTTTCAGCTGCTAAATCGTCTGTCTTTTTTAACTGTCTATATGTACTTTATTTTTCTGGTCATCTTTATTGTTAGGCCATGGTAACAGAAATCAAATTTTAGACCAGAGTCGGGTACCGTAAAGATTCAGATCAAATTAGAATCAGAGTTGAGAACTGTCAAATCTATCTAAGCGTTTAATTTTACGATTGAAATACGTGCAGAACCAATGTTTCTAAAACGGCGGTTTGTCTGAAAACCGGTTCTTTATAAAGGAATAGACATTAATTAGTTACAAACCTCGTGAGGTATCTGTGACGCACATACAATAATTCAATCTTAACTACTCAGTAGTAGCTGAATAGTTTTAACAAAAAATGATATTTTATACCTACTGTAGACAGTATGAATCAAACGAAACAGATTTTATGCGTAGTCTATCATACTTGCAATTTTCTACCATCGTTATCTTATGAAAGTTTAACTTCCCTTAATTTGTTGAATAAGAACCAAAGACCTCAAAAATTGGAATAATTTGTTGATGAAAATGAATTTACCTACCAACTATCCCAATGTAAAATCCGTTAGTAATAATAATTGAACATAGTCGCATATTGGCACATTGCCTATGATATCGGTTTTATTGAAGTAGACAAATGTGTTATAACTTGTCGTTTGAATGCTTATTGTCTTGGCTCTCTTAACGCTACTTTTTGTAACTGGTCGTCGCTGATTGTTATTTCGGAAACGCTTATCACTTATACTCGGAACGAGGGATCTGTGCAATTCCCACGACGCGAAAGTAAGAACACAAAGACTGGTATAAGTGATGATTTATTAAACCCAAAACACGACGACGAAGACAATCAAACAAAAGAAGTAAATAACTGCGTTAAAACCAGAGAAAAATAACCCACAAAGGGGTAAAACAATATGGAGACTATAACAACTGCTTACTACTTACTAGACACAATTAGTTTATCAGAAAAAAACAATCTATGAATAATCCAAGATAAACATGCTAGGTAATGTGAATTTCATCAAATTTTCTATGAAAGTTTATTAAATTTAGGGTTTTGAAGTGAATAAATTATTGAGGCTTGTTATAGGCAAAGATGGATAGTGGCTAGTAATGGAATCCAGTGTGACGCACGTTTGGTCCTATTTGGGACTCGCCAACTGGATATATCTGCATCTCAGAGTTGATTTTCACTCCGGGAGGGACTTGAACCCAGTACCGTTCACTTCAAATGTCATTGTGTTATCCACTCAGCTACTGAATCTTCATAGCTACTAGCTTGTGCAATATGGCCAAGTTTAAATTCATTTTGTATTATTTATTTGAATGTTCTGATTGATGTTTAGGACGGCAATTGATCAGTCTCTTATTGGCATATATGAAATATGGTGTACGGATTGCCTCAATATTGTCTTAGGTAACAAGCATTATAGGCAAAGATGAAACGCGCCTTATGAATTCCACTACTCCACACTATCCATCTTTCTTGATAATCCTTATGAATTAAGGCAATACGCACATACGCCAATAAGAGACTGATCAATTACGGTCCTAAACATCAATGCGAAGATACAAGTAAACAATATCACGTGAATTTATTGAGGCTCATTTCCATAGCAAATTGAAACTAACTGAATAAGAACAACAAAACTGTTCAATATCCATTAGTTTTAAATATTTTTTTCCAAATTGTATCATTTCATAAATTATTCAAATTGATATGAAACAAGAATATGCACTTAACTTTTTTTATTTCCGTAAACAAAAATTGATCTGTATAGGGGTAATGGAGATCATTAAGTTTTTGGTTGAGCTCATGAACCGATTGATGTTAGATCACCATTGAAAACTTGGAAGCATTGAACAACCGTTTCGTCGTAGTATTGGACTCCTCAACAATACGCATCCACGATCCCGCTCGTGGGATTCGAACCCAGCGTTCGCGCACGAGGCTGAAGGCCCTGGGTTCGGACCCTGTTAGTGGAATCGTGGATGGACACTGCTAAAGAGTCCCATACTGGGATGAAACGGTCTTCCAGTGTTTCCAAGTTTTCAATAAAGTTGGTTTGAACGTCTTTTGTAAACATTCTGCATAAATTAATCAAGGTCATTGAATAAATATAAAACAAAAGAAATAATTATGTCACTCATTGAAATTGAAAGAGAAAAATGAGGTTAAAAATAAAAAGATACATTAAGTGTGACAAAAGAAACATTAATTCTATTGTAAATGTTGTAATAACTAAAGACCTGAAATAATAAATTACGAATAATGAATATGATATAGTAATTATATTCTGTCTGTCAATGTAAATGATAGATGTACATAATGAATTACAATGGAGTCTTCTTTTTTATTATTTAACTTAAGATTGATTCTTATACGTTGTAAATTATGGCTAATTTCTATAATATTTTAATTTAGATGCATCACAGATCACTTACTTACTTATTCCTGTTACTCCTCGTGAAGGAGCATTGGCCGACCACCAGCACTCTATCCAACTCTGTCCTGCGCTATCCTTTCCAGCTCTTTCCAGTTATTATCCATCCTTATCATATCTGATTCTATTTCCCGACGTAATCTGTTGTTTCGCCTCCCACTTTTCCGCTTCCCTTCAGCATTACAAATTAGGGCTTGCCTCGTGATGCAGTTTGGTGATTTCCCTAATATATGTCCTATCCACCTCCAACGTCTTTTCCTAATTTCCTCTTCAGTTGGAAGCTGGTTTGTCCCCCCCACAGTAGGTTGTTGCTGAAGGTATCTCGCCAATGGATGTTGAGTATCCTGCGTAGACAACTATTTATGAATACTTGTACCTTCTTGATGATGGCTGCAGTAGTTCGTACTGAAGATTGTGACTTTGATATTGGTTGATAGACAGTTGTTTTGAGTTCCATATGTTCTTCAATCGTAGGAATACTGTCCTTGATTTGCAAATCCTTGCTTTTACTTCTGCGTTGTATCCTTCTTTTTCATCGATGATGCTCCTCAGGTACGTAGAATAGTTATATATGCATATCACATTACTGTTCGCGAATGTAGCAAATATAACAAACAATCTCAAATATATATATGCTGTGAGTCTCTAGGTCAAATGTGATTTTTTAGTCGGACTTTGTTTAACCTACCTGTATGTTCAATTGATTTGAAAGATTTTTTTAATAGTTGAGATCATGAGTCGATTGAATCTAGACTACTATGGAAAACCTAAAAGCGCTGGACGGCCGTTTCGTCCTATTGTGGGACTCCTAAGCAGTTCAGTACGAAAACGCCGTCCAGTGCAGTGGAGAAAAGTCAGCAGATGCAGTCCTGTGGTAGCCGGTCACCAACGATTAGTTAATATGTCATTTGTTACTTCAGGATACTGGAGCACATGTGCACCATTAGTTTGAAATGAGGGTTTTCCAACTCCCATAGGTGGACTCTCCATGTCCACCAACTCGATTAAAGCGCCGAACATTCGCTTTTTGTCCTCTCAATTTTCTAAATAACACCCCTTTCGAGAAAATTCAGTGTAGGGAGCAATTTCTTACAGGTTTAATTCTGAGCTATTCTCTAGACCGTCGAATACAGAGTCTTGGTTTGGCCAAAATCAGAACAAGCAAGCTATTTGGCTAGATAAACTTTATCTGTTTCTAAAACATATTTTATCGTCGTTAGTGTACAAACAAACTGTACGGTCTATTAATATAGGGAAAAAACAGACAAATAACATACCGAACAGTAGCCAGAGAATAGGAAAAATGAGTCAACAAGCAAATATTGTTTTATAATGAACATTAAACTGTGATTGCTTAATAAAGAGATACAGTCGCACAAGGTCAAAGGGAGTTAATGTGGTGGTGGGCGTTTCCCTTTATTATTGGTGAGTTCGTCTATCGACCACATTTTACGGTCAGTGAGTAGGACTTCTCTGACAGTGGCTGTTTACGCGTGACCATGTAAGAGCATTTGGAGGGAGAGCTGACTTTCCCCACTCTCGGCCGTACCAGCGCATTTGGGGTCAATCATATGGGCTTCAAATATACCGAACATTTCAACCTCTATAAAGTTAAAACCCAGCCACTTTACTCACAATTTTGTTTCAAAAAAAACACTATTATGGATCATTGGGAAACATGCATAAATGAGACACTTCAGTAAGCTATATCAAAAACAAATTTGCTAAACTTAACCAAAAAAACCGAGAGTATCAAATGAAGTATATGAAATATAAATCAAAACTCTATCAGATGAACCTGCCATTCATCAAATCATTGATAATATTGATTATTCAATTCTATGATACAAACTATTGATTTACCGTTGTTGTTTAATAGTGAATGATTTCGTTTCACAAAAAGAGTTAGTTGAAGTAGACCGTTTTGTCACTGAATAGAAATATGGATAATTCATCAAAGGCAATCGTTTTTTTCTCTTATACTCCAACACTTTGATTATTCTGTAACCTTCTTTTTCTGTGTTAGAAATCTCGGAGCAATCTCTTCTATCCTTCTATAGATTGATTTATCAATCAAAGTAGTATTAAATACGAATATACAACTTAAGTAAATGATTCAGTGACCTGAATGATCATTCAGAGAGGTGTTTTTTTTTCTCGAGAAATCTCATACAATATTGTAACTTCAAAGTAACTTCCAACTGAACTCTTTCATGTAAATAATTGAAACCCATTTTACAATTATGATTTTTAAATATCACAGATTGTAAGCAGTTGGTAAGAATCAAATGAAATGAAATGAATTCATGTTATTCTGCTCAAATGTTTGTTCTTGTTGTTTGTAAGTAAATTGATTACATTGAGAAGAAAAATTTCTTAAGTGAACTCTATTTTTTTACTAGATGGAGTTTACTTAATTATTTACTTACGCCTGTTACTCCCAGTGGAGCACAGGCTGCCAACCAGCATTCTCCGACCCACTCTCTCCTGGGCATTCCTTTCTAGTTCTTTCCAATTGTTGTTCATTCTTCTCATATCTGTTTCTATTTCTCGGTGTAATGTGTACTTTTGTCTTCCTCTCCTCCTTTAGCTTTGAAGATTCCAAGCGAGAGCTTGCCTTGTGACTCAGTTGGGTGCTTTCCTCAATGTGTGTCCTATCCCCTTCCATCACTTCTTTCTGATTTCTTCTTCCATTGGGATTTGGTTTGTTCTTTATTAGGTCTCAGTAGCTAAGTGGATAACGCGATGGTGTTTGAAGCGAACGGTACTGGTTTTGAGTCCCTCCTGGAGTGAACATCAACTGTTAGATGCAGGTATATCCAACTGACGAGTCCCATAAAGACGAAACATGCATCGAACTGGATTACAGTGCTATTCATTATCCATCTCTGCTTAAACTCCACCTGGAGCCCCTCGAGGGCTACTGTAGGTCCCAAGCCCATTTAAAGCAGTAGGGTTGGGCGTGGAGTTAGCGAACCGATCCCGTAGAAAACTAAAGCGCTAAAAAACACTAACCAGAAAAAATAATTAAATCGAGTTAGTTTTTTTTCAATATGTAGCATGATATGACATCAGTTGAAGCAGTACTGTAGGAACTGAACAGTTGATTTATTTCAATTTATAATTCCCTGGTAATGTTAGGGAATTCAGAAAAACTTCACATTTATTATTCCTTTTCTGTTATTGATCTAGTACTGTTTTTTTTTGTTTTATTATACTACTTATAAACTACTGAAACACTTAGTCGAATTACGTTTTATATTATTGTTTTACTAAAGACTATTCCATCAGATTACTTTTATGGTTTCTTGAAATAATTATTTTGTTTAAAATTCATTTTAGGTACATTAAGTAAGTGATTAATTAAATGTTTACACTATTCAGTATTGTTGTGACGACTTCCAAGAACTACGACATAGCCTTCAGAGGCCCTAAAAGAAGCTGAAGAGTTTCCAACCAATCAGAGCGTAATGGGGCTTTCTAAAATATCAACGTGACATACTACTACTGGACAGTAGCATAATTTGCATCTTCGCAGATTGGTTGAATTATAATGTTGATATCACAAATGCTATTGTCTATAAATAGTCGTGATTTTGTGTACATTTTGATTCTTATCCATCAAACACTTTTCCAGTCTTCTTCTATCTTTTGATTTACAGCTGTGGGGGTTCTATACGTTCGTGTGCCTTAGTTGTATATTGTATTCTACGTTACCCATAATTCTGAGTCTAATCACATAAGATGTTTAGAGAATAATTCTGTCGAACTGTTATTCTCATTACAATTAGTTCATAGTAACCCTAATGAATGAAACTATAGGGAAACATACTTTAAAATTGTGCATCTATTTTAAGAAGCTTTTTTTAAAATCATTGTATTATTGTATTTAGCAAAATGTATTGACAAGCTACCGCAAAATGAATAGAACCACTATTGAGACAATAAATTTATAGACGACATTTGAACGACGCTGGAATAACCTTGAGAGTGTCCACTTAATAACCAAGATCAAATGAGGGTTATAAAACAGTGTGAAAAATTAGAATTATAATTTACAGTTGATGATTAAGGTTCGGAATTACATTCCGGATTTTCATCACGAATTGACATCAACTATAATGTCAAAACTCGTTTTATCCAAATGGATGAATGAATTTCATGCCGAAAATCCACCACCTGTTATCTTAAGCGTGATTGGTTTGTCCATAAATTATAGTCTCGCCAAACATACCATACAGTGTAGAAATCAACTGTAATATTTGCGGTTGAAAATGAATGGTCGTTGACTAATGTTCAAGTATATTTTAACACATCCCTTCAATAATATCAAATTGAAAGTGTCGGATGTTAAATGTCGACTTAATAATCTAAAGATTTGGAACTCCAGATCCAATTTGAGGTGGTCCTGAATATATAGTTTCCTGTAATCCAATATTAAGATTAAACAGCTATCTCATGTTTTTTTGATTTTCAACATATGTCTAGATAAAATCAATTACTGATGGAAAATATCTTCAAAATTGGAGCCATCACTAACTCATTCATACTATAATAAAGATTGAATATATGTATATGGGAATGTCATGTGTCAAAAAATCCATAGAAAAATTGAACTCTCCTTAGGCTGAGATTTGAACATACACGTGATATGATGAGTAACAGGTTGGTCAACTGGAATGAGAATCACACATGAAACTGATATTTTTACAATTGTGTGTGGCGTATCCACATCTTAAAAAGAATGATTAATATTATATCTAGATTAATATCAAGAATGAATCAATGTTAGACCACCACTGAAAACCTAGAAGCATTAGACGGCCCTTTCGTCCTAGCATGAAACTCCTCAACAGTGCGCATCCACGATACCGCGCATGGGATGCGGACCCCGAACCTTCGGTCTCGCGCGCGAACGTTTAACCTCTATACTACTGAGCCGGCATCCGACGGCGTTAATATATAACTTCCACCAATCCATGATATCACTCGACCGTTCACCATTATCTTCCATCAGTAACTGCCTCACAACAGGTACAGTTGAACTCCACTGGTTACGGCTTCTTATTAGAACTCCATGGAGTCCATCTGGAAGCCAGTCACTACTGAGAACATGATAATTGTCAGTATATGGTTGAGTTGGATGCCAGGTCAGTGCTCAAGAAGTCATGCGTTCGCGCACGAGACCAAAAGTTCTGGGATCAAGTCCCGCGTGCCGGATCGTGGATTCGCACTACTGATGAGTCTCATACGACGACAAAACGACCGTCCAATACTGTCAGGTTTTCAATGGTGGTCTAACATTGATCTATTGATTATATTAATCTAAACTCAACAATCCTCACAACCCTATAGTGTTAATATTTAATTGTATAATATTGTAAATATGTGTTCACACAGTAGGTTGTTGAATTATTATTGTTACATACAGCTCAGTTCAATTTAGGGAAATCTGACTGTGAATATACTATATGATGGGACCTCAGATCATTTTGTTCTATTTTGAGAATCAAACCAGTCTTTCTTTTTGCACTTTGCGCCTTTTCTCTTGTGTTCAAGTCTTCGCGTAGGTTCAATTTGAGGTTATTAGAAGCGGTTAGTAAATCAAATGGATTGTTCATTCAGTAACACTAATCAATATTTTAATAGTTGAAATCATCAGTCAATTGAAGTTAGACCACCATGGAAAACGTGAAAGCATCGTCCTACTGTAGGACCCTCAACAGTGTGCATCCACGGTCCCGCCTGGAGGTTAAGCGTTCGCGCGATGGAGACCGATAGGTCCCGAGTTCGAATCTCCCTAGGCCACCCACGATCCCACCTTGAGAAGTTCGGACATAGAACCTTCGGTCGTGCGCGCGAACTCTTAACCTGTAGATCATTGAACAGTCATCTAACGGTGTTAATGTTTAACTTCAACCAATCCATGAAATTGAGCGATATATC